GCTAGCAGACGTTCGCAGCTAGATCGGATCCCTTCTTTTACGAGCGGAAAGATGGCAGACGTTTAGCGTCACTGACACGTAGCCAATGCCCTATCCAGATTATATTATAGCTCTTGATTATAGAGATCAGTGGTCAGAGCAAATCAAAGCAGCCAATCAGAGGAACCCTTTGCGCATTTGCGGTACGGAAAAAATAATCGCGCCCGGGGGGTAGCATTACCCCGTTAGATTGAGCCAATGAGCGAGAGCGCCATCTGTCGTGGAGTTTGAGCAGAGCATATAAATCAACTGCTGATATAATATATATATATATCTAATATATACATATATATATATATAATATATATATATATTAATATATAATATATAGATATATATATACAATATATATATCAATCTGTTGATATAAGTGCTCTGGTTTGAGGAGCCTAGCGCTGTATGGTAGCGTCATCTAGTGGCTGATTTTGTAGTAAAGCTGAAAAGAAACCAATGTGTCCCAATATTCCTCGCGCTACTACAACATGGAAGGATCTGTCAGAAGTTGTGTTCCTGTTCAGAAAAATTAACCTTTTGTTGGTACCTGCCGTCCTTTATACGTGATCAGCGGACACAGCAAATAAGAGCGAACAAAATTTCTTCTAGATGTGAGCGCCTCGTGTCGATTGAACGTGTGTGCGCGTTAACCGTAGGCCTAGATCAGATCTCGTTTTACCACGGTTGGGCGGGGATCGATAAATTTTTCGCTTTGGTTTACCGTGAGAAACAAATTGGCCGCTTACATCAGCTGGTGAGTTTGTCGACGAACCTGTGGTATCGCTGGTCGACTCAGTAGCAGTAAAGGCTCTTTATTTGGTGGGTTCTCTTAGTAGTCAGTCTGTGTTTGCATTGGTGACTGGATACCATGGGGGACAACACGACAGTGGTACAACCCGCGGCGCCCGGTTCAGAGAATGCGGAATGTAGCGTCAAGGTGGTGTGCAGAATCCGACCTTTGAACGAAACCGAGTTGCGGACAGGTAGCAAATTCATAGTCAAGTTCCCACCTAACACAGACGATGCTCTCACTATTGGGGTGAGTAGTGTGCTTAGCAATTATTATATTGTGTTATAATCATGATTTATAGTATTTACTTGTTTATGTTGTTAATATTTTACTACTGCATGTGCATACGTATACCTAGGCTCTAGTAGTAGTACTAGTAGTGCTGATAGTGATAGTGATAGTGATAGATAGGGTCTATGTCCCCCAGGGTACTGCCGGAACGTACCCTGGTACTAAATACTACTATTAGTACTAATACTATCTAATAATATGCTGGACCGTACTTCGCCTACTCCACTAACGAGTCTAGGGAGTCGCCTACGCCTACTCCCTAACCCTAATCCTAACCATATCAGCTAGATAGTTACCAGGGTACGTTCCGGCAGTTCCCTGGGGGCATAGACCCTAGATCATGGAACATCACATGGAAAATACGACGACCAATACCCGTGGCTAAAATTAGACAGCAACACACAAGGTCTCAGATACAATAGCCTTAAACTGTATAAACGACAAGTAGATCATACACTCAAAAAGAAATCATTTAGCTTTAGAACCGTCAGCGATTGGAACTCCCTGCCCGAAGAAATTGTTATATCAAAAACGATAAATGAATTCAAAAACAAAATTGACAGGCACTGGTCCCACCTGCAATATGACTACCTTAACTAGTCACATAGTTATGATGTAATGATCTGATCACATGATGCAATGTATACAATGGAAATTTACCTTCCAACGTATACTCATAATATCTAGGCTACAATACCACGACCAATACCCAATTTAGAATCATTTAACATCGCGAGGGACTATGAACAAAATTGAGGTTTGATGTATTAATTAGACCGGATACAGGCCCTCGGGCCTATTCCTGTAAACCGCTATTCTATTCTAGATGAGCTCTAGGCGTAGTAGTACTAGTAGTAGTGCTAGTAGTACACTATAGCCCGCGTTAAGTACTGCTACTAGAGCTAACTTATACCGTGTAGCCAAAGCCTAGTTTAGCACCACAGCCACAGGTTAGTTTAGCACATCATTATGCGAAAACACATTGCGGGGTCCTAAACTATTCTTGGTCCCTCATATGTTAGTCATGGATATACAATGTATAGATATCTTGACGATAATTATGTTTAGGATAGTACCATGATAGTAGTACCAATAGCCATGAATAGGTTCAATCTGCAGGGGACATGTCAACTTTTTTAGGGCCCCCGTCTTTCAATATAAGGGTTGGTTTAGGTTGTGATTAGGATGATGATTGATCATGGAGTCCTAATGTACCGGGTCCTAAAATAGACTTGAATCCCATAACAATCGGACTTGCCTACTCTATGACTATAAACAAGTCCCAGGGCAAAACTTTCGACAAACTCGGACTCTACCTCCCAGCCCCTGTGTTCTCCCACAGCCAGCTATATGTTGCCTTTTCACGTGCCAGAGGCTACTCCAACATCTACATCAAAGTGGACAAACATTCCTCACTTGTAAGGCCTTTTCAACAACAGGACCCTCATGCAAAATGTCATCTACAAGGACATTTTAGACCTACAAAGGACTAAGGTAGCACCACCCCCATAACTAACCCAACTTCTAATATCAATCTATTACTACTGTAACCCTATTTAAATTTTGCTGTTTTTATGGAGTAAACTGAAGGGATGTCTTCATGTCCGCAAATTTAAAAAGGGTAAAATTTAGATCTTTTAGGAAATTTTACCAGAACCGCAAAAAAACAGCCCCAAATATATACCGGATTACAATATGCCACAGTCGACTTTGGCCAAACATTCAACTCCGTGAGGAGCACGGGTATTTGCTAGTAACAGAGTAATACTGATGAACAGGATTTAATTCGATCATTACTTGTTACTCGATGACATACTAATTATTTTTTGTTCTATTATGGCATATCAATGTAATGATATTTCTCTGAGGAATCTTCTCAGGCAGTGGAGATCTACTGAAACCCTTGCTGTATGAGATTGAATGTGTGTGCAGTGTAGCTGTGAGACTACACCAATAGCTGCCACCTAAGAAAGCAAAGTGCTGCTCTATGGGGCAAAGTGTTGAGTAATTGTCAAGAGTGACAGATCGACGAAACCATATATGGATGTAGATGAAGTGGAGCTACAGCAGTTCATCTGTAAACGCGTGCTGACGATGACGTTTGGCCCATCTGGCATGTGAAGGCATGTATGTTGTTGCTCGAACAGACAGGGCAGATCTATGCGTAGCAACAGTCCGACTCAATCTTTTGGGTGAAGCCACAACGATGATGCGTCATCACGTGAGCGACGCCGGCGATCGATAAGTCTGGAGGCTGCCGCATCACCGAGGTAGCTGGCAACGGTGTAATGAACTGAATATTCTGTTGTCACGGCAGTGGCCCGTCTACCCGTATTGCATAATCGTGTGCGATAATCCACAGATGAAATGAGCTGGCAGGCTGGCTTGGGCTTCACCTCTGCCTGTGGGTGCGGTCGGCACAGCCCTCGTACGTGTGCCAACATTAAATTCTCGTTTCTTGGGCATTACAGATATTATGACATGGAAATACATGTGAAGTCCTTGTGATAAAAGTGGGAGGTGGTTTTGTTACGACCACTACACTAATGAGAGTCTAGGCAAACCTACTTCATGAATTCTCCCCCTTCCCTCATACATGTACCTAATCATAACCCCATAATATATATATATATATGTATGTATACATTATGTGGTTATGATTAGGTTACATCAGTGTGGTAGTCAACCTCAGCCAAATCACCCAGATGATATCATTTACAATAACACTCCGTAGTGCACTGTTCCGTTGACACACACAGTGCACCTGCAACATTTTCTCTGGTGATGTAGGTAACGCAGCGTTCGAAAGCGTGATGTGTGATTTGCTGTGTATTCACTAATTGGTCTGTGAAGCTTTGGCTCAGCGGGTATGTCCATGTGATAACAGGCATCATTTATAATGTGAATCTGATTCCATCACCTGTGGGTGTGACCGTGTGACTGTGAGTGCTGCAGAGTGCTCGCGTTCTTAATGCTTGAACTTGGTGTTGAAAATATGTGTTGTTTTCCATGGTTCACAGATCACCTTGGATGCACAGTAGAAATTCACATCTGCTTATATGTTTACGTGTGCTTTGGATATTTTCAGAGCAAGGTATTCGTATTTGACCAAGTGCTGCCACCACAAACAACACAGGAGGAAGTGTACGTGAAGTCAGCTCAAGCTATTGTCAAAGGTATACTCGTGCACTATCTATTAGCTCTCAATTGATGCTCCTAGCATTGCATGCAAGTTGGTATCTGTTATCTGTATGGCAGTGCACAGGTTTTAAAACGGCATGTTCTCGCAGCAAAATGCATCAGATGTACCTACTGTGAGTGTGAACTTGTCCATGTTGTAGAAATTCACCACAACTTGTTTGTATTGCAACTTTTACAACATTTCTTCATAAAATCTAAACGAAAGTACTCCTCTTACGAAAGTAGCTCCACAGGATGTTTACACAGTGTTTACACATCCCGTACACAGCCGAGCAAACGTTGTGCCGCATAAAGCGGGTTTTTCTCTCTATGATAACACATGTTATACCTTATTGTTCGATGTTTACTCAGTACGAAATTGTGAAATTTATGTAAATCATATCAGGAGTGAATGTAGATTCAATTTCAATTAGATTATTCTATTGTCATTCAATGATTCACTCCTATTTATGTGCTATCACTTCGATCACTATGTGCTATGATCCTATTCACTCCTGATCATATGTTATCTCCATTACTTACGCAACCAGGACACAAATATAGTGTTTTCATTACAGGAAATATTTTCGCTAGCGTAGGCCTGTACCGGCGTATTTGGACGCTCGCCCGAAACTGGACGCTCCTAAGTGCGCATGCGCGCAGGCGAGCTCAACCAGAATCCACATACCTGTGAGGCAATGTAATCCCAAATGAGCGGCATCTGTTTACCGTCAGCACGTCCAAAATGGTTTTGTATGGCACTCTAGATTCAATGTACGTTTGTTGTTGTCCTCTGCCCAGTGTGAAAGAGAAGTTCGGCCTCAATCATGTGAGCTATTTAGCCACAGATCCAATAACTAGACAGCGAGGCGACTCACGGAGAGTTGGCATACTCCCGCGAGCATGTTAACATGTCATGTGTTACGAGCTGGCTCGCACGCTCGGCTAGCTGGCTCTCGCGACTGACAGGCGCCCTGGCTGCTGACTCGCCGCTCGCTGGTCGAGGCTGCTGACTCGCCGCTCCTGGCTGATTGCTGCTGACTCACATCGCCTGTGCTGACTGAATCCCCACTCGCGTGACCACGCTGCGCTAATCGATACGCCGGCCGCTGGGCTAGCCACACCACACCACACGCGCACACACCACACACAGCGGCCCACACCAGCACACAGCACACAGAGCACCAGCACACACACCCCACAGCCACACACGACCCGATTACATTACCCATCCCTGCACACTCGTTGCGCGGAGGTAATAAATACATCCGTATCTGGGCTTCTAATAATGATGACTGCTGGCTCAGGCTGTACAGCTGATAACGAAGCGATGCGATGCAGCAGCAAGTACTAAGACGAGTGTAGATGAAGAGCCGTGTTCGGCTTTCCTTGTTGTTTCCCACTTGGTTTGATATCGGTGGGCCCAAAGCTCTTAGGCTTATGTTAATAATGTTCAAATATATAACGATGAATAATAAATTTTACTTGATACATTAGAACTTGAACTCGTGGTTACATTCAAGTTCCTTCACAGCAGTTACATTCACTTCCTTCCAGCTATTTCCACAATGCAGCGCATTCTTTGAATTTCTTCAAACTCTTCTCGCTAAAACTAAAAGCAGAAACTTTCCCATGTGTGTTCTTCCGTGTGCATGTAACACAAATGTCGGAAGATTTTTCCTTCACGAATCATCAGACGACATAGGAACGACATAGACGAACATGTAGTCGCGCCGGGATGTTTGTTGTGGCAGGGAAGCCAGTTCATGCGAACTAAGAGACCGCGTGATTGGTTGCAGAAGCAACACAGTTGGGAATCGGGATGAAGACGTACTTTTGATTAGATAATATTTCTCGACAAATAAATTATTTTCTATTCAGTTTTTTTCCGTTTTTTCTCTTGCTTGCGTAAATGTTATTAATTGACGACGTTTCAGACCTTTTAAAATATTTTAAATTATACAAATATATGAGGCATAGTTATGTATTGCCATGACGGTTCGTGGTGCAAAAAACACGGCCCGCGGTCTAATAGAACTGCTATTGATTGTTCAAAATCTTGAATTCTTTTTTGTATTTCAAATTGAAATTACAAGACACCACCATATATCTTCGTTAGTGTTGAACCTTGGGTGATTCAGGCATGAGAATGTAAATTACGAATAAATAATAGAATTAAATAATAGAATAATAGAATAAAGGAAACTGTGGTATAATAAATTTACGACTATTAATATTATCGATTAGCCAACCATCGTCATATTTTATATTACAATCTCCATGCATATTACTATTAGGCTTATAGTAATTGGCATTGTCCTTCGGAGAGGTATCCCGCAAGAGGAAAGCTGTGCGTCTGTGACGTGCTATTTACTGCAAAAGCCTCCCCCCGATTCATTTACACACAATCATGCAATCGTTTGCCCTTGCTCACTTCAACTTCTATTTGCACATGTATCCCAATGGCACTCCGCATTCACTGCAGTGAATAAGTGACAATGACATTATTAGCAGGGCCATAGGCTGAGCAAATTCCTAGGAGGGGCAGTGGCAGACCCAGGATTTCAAGGAGGGTTGAGAAACCGGTGGGGTGTCTGTGGTCCCCACAGAAAATTTTAAAATGTAGATGCAGGAGATGGTACTTGAGCGACTTATTGCGTACATGTACAGGCCTTCATTCTGATATACATAAATTCTTTTTGTAAATTAGGGTTAGTAAGTTTAGGGTTATCGTTAGGCGTTAGGGTTAGGGTATAGGGTTCTAGCTGCATCTAAACTCTCGAAATCGTGAATTTATTTCCCAAGGCGTTATTTCGAACCATGCGTGCGCGCACGCCGCCAAAATTTGTCTCGTTAAGTATAAAGCGATGGACTCACCGTACCTCACCTCAAATTAAAGATACGGCTGCCGTACACCCGTAGCCAACAGCGCCTAAAAAAAACCAGACTAGAGTCCCAGACTGGCTTACAATTTGTTTTCGCTATATAGTATATTATATACATGTATACATACAAACATGCTCATCACACATGTCATTTTAGTCGTCCATGGTCAAGCGTAACATAATTTTCTACTTACGTATATCAATAAATAAATATGTATATCCTTATTATGTAATTAAAAGGGGGTGTTGGAGTAGGGAGGAGGAGGAGAGAGAGGAGGAGGTCAGGAGGAGGAAGAGGCAGGAGGCAAAGAGGAGAGGAGGAGGGCGGCAGAGGAGAAGAAGGAGGGGAGGGAGGGAGGAGGGAGAGAGGAGGAGGGGGGAGGAGGAGGAGGAGGGGAGGGAGGAGAGAGAGGAGGAGGAGAGGAGAGGAAGGGGCAGGGAGGAGAAAGAGGGGGAAGAGGAGGGAGGAGGGGAAGAGGAGGAGGAGGAGGAGGAGGAGAGGAGCGGGAAGAAGCTTGATACGAGAAGGAGGAAGGGAGAAGGGAGAAAGTGGTGCAAGAATGAGGGGCAGAAGCTGGTGGAGGGAAGGAGGAAGAAGGGAGAAAGCTGGTGAGGAGGAAGGAAAAGGGAGAAGGTGTGGAGGAGGAAAGGGGGAGAAGCAGGTGGAGAAGGAGGAGGAAGGAGGAGGGGAGGGAGGAGGAGGAGGGGAGGAGGCAGGAGGGGGAGGAGGGAAGAGCTCGATTTAGAGTAGGAAGGGAGAAGGGAGAAAGCTGGTGGAAAGACCAAGCAAAGGAGGAGGAGAGAAGCTGGTGGAGAGAAGAGGAGGAGAGAAGAGAGAAGCTGGTGAGAAGGAAGGAAAGAGAAGGAGGGGAGAAGGGAGCTTGGTGGACGGAAGGAGAAGGGGGAGAAGGGAGATAGGTGGTGGAGGAGGAGAAGGGGGAAGAAGGAGGAAATGGAGAAGGGAGAAGCTGGTGGAGAAGGAGG